TGTATTTCTTTGCGCTATATAGGTCCAAAGTGGGCTGTTTTGGGCCATAATGTAGTGGTTTTGGTGGGGGGCTTGGCAAAACTGTGACACGAACCCGTGTGTGACACGAACCCGTGAGGTACGTTAGTACTAATTATATTACTAAGTAACTTCTATGTTGATGAACAGAGTGCTTAGCTGCTCAGTAACGCTAAGAGTTACTTACCATAGAGTAGGCTACGCGACTACGGCGCGGTAGGAAGCATTGAGGCGCGGCGAGGCGCATCCTTCAGCTCCAGCAGGCTGGTTACTGGTAAGCAGTAGTGTTGCGATACGAGAACAGCATCTGGTGTTACTGCATAAGCCGATCAAGCACAACATTCCTGGAACGCTTTGACGCTATCATCAGCATATGTTCAACTGTATCATATCCGACGTCACTTATCTAGCACAAGCCCCAACACGTCAGTCACCCAATGCAGCCTAGCTCAGCCCTATCGGTGTCGGAGCTATACCATACCGAGTGCATGACATCACAATTCTAAGACTATGTCGCAATGCCCTTTCCATACGTTTGCACATGCACATGTGTGCATATTAGTATTGAGACAGCGCAGATCATGGCTTAGGAAATTGGCATGTGGTGTGGAAGCTGCCGGCAGCGTCATAAGTATATCTTGCCCTCTTTTCCTTCTCTTTATCCACTATTACTTGGTACCCCTATCGACCTCCGCACCTAAGCTTTTGCTACCTGATCCTTTGAACTATTATTCATAGTTTACAACCAGACACACTCAACATGACTGGCGCACACTCTGGTTCCGGTCTTGGCGATGCCATCCGCAAGGGTGTGAATATGGTTCATGTAAGTCTTGCATATTTTGAGCTGTGAAGGAATGCCGTGGGCTGGTAGCTGACAGGTTTCAGGGAACCGGCGAAGCCATCCGCGGCAATGCAATGTCCATGGTTGACGAAGCAAGCGGTGACCAGGCGAGCGCAGTCAAAAACCAAGAGATTGCCAACAAGGGAGTCGACGAATGGGACCGTGGCTACCGCGGTCATGCCACAAGTGCTGGTGTTGCTCCTACCAATACCACTTCCACGTCTACGAACTACGGTCCACACGACTCCAACATTGGCAATAAGCTGGACCCAAGATTTGATTCCGACACAGACCACAGGGGAACAGCAACCGGCTCTACCAATGCTGGCCCCCACTCGACCAATGTGGGCAACAAGCTTGACCCGCGCTTCGACTCTGACCAAGATCATCGAGCTGATCCTACTTCTACAATCGGTGGTACGGGATACGATGCACGCAGATAGATACAGTCTTATAACTTAATATCATTATACCCTTCACATCATGTCTCTCCCGTGTTTGATACTTGTGCTAAACGTTTTAGCTGACTTACACACATTTCTTCCTCTCCAGCAAACCGACGGCACTGGTGAGTCTCAGTGTGTGCACCAAGTTACACAATCCCCGTTGCGAACCATTTCAAATCTTTCTATATGGTTCCGATCAATCCATAAACTGATCCTCTACAGACGATAAAGAAATCATCTGGAACCTCTCAAATGGTCTCAAAGATACCTATCATGTATCCCATAAACACCAGCACGGTCCTAACCCCCCACACGAGCATCGTGGCTCAATAGGCGCACTATCCGGACTGGAAGCAGCCAACAAACTCGATCCCATTTTCCCTGTCGGACCTGACGCCGAATCAATGAAGTATACAGATCACGCAAACATCCACCGTCTCCGCGGCTCGATAAGTGGTGCCTCTGGCCTCCAGGCTGCACAGAAACTTGATCCCCCTATTTTCGAGCCTGCGCATGCCTCTGATGAAGTGTTGGCTCGTGGACCAGGTCATAACCAACCTGAACCGTCATACTACCATCCAAAGCCTACGTACAAGAGCAATTTTGCCAAGTCGCTCGATCGGGGTGTCGGTGTTGAACGACTTCAGCAGCCAGATAGCGCAACTAAGGGGTCGAGAGCAAATCCTATTGAACACATTGCTGGGTCTGGTACAACAAAAGGCGAGACAGGATCAGTGCCGGGTACTCAAAAGAGCGAACCTCGCTAGGCAAACTCTGCTTAATCGGGAATGAGATGGCGGACCGACAACTCTCTTGACAAGGATCCGGCATCACTACAAATCCTGAAACAGGAACAGGGTCTGTGCATTGTCTTGTTCTGCCTGGACACGTCTCCTGGGGTAGAGTGCCAAAACGTCTTAGTGCCAATTCGTGTCACATGTCTTAAGCCTTCGGTTCATTAGGTACTGCTACCATCTGACATAGCTCTTGACTTTGTTATCCCCTGTTAGGTTGAGAATTCTCTTTGTTACTTGTGGCATCTTGCCTGCACTACCACATCTTTGTTAAGAATCTCAAGTACACAATCTATTGTATAGATGGCTGTCTAATAGAAGTCTTCTAGGTTGGCCTTGTTATACCAACATATGTAGCCCTAGCCCTAACCCTTCCTACTCACCATTGCCCTTGCAGGATCCACCTGAATTGAACACGGCGTTGAGTTCTTTACAGATTGATTTGAGTTTCACTTCCTCCACAGTGTTTACTACACAACACGTTCCAACGTCAGTCTAAAATCAATGCGTTAGTTCAATGTAGATGGAGGATTTAATAGCATGTAAGTCATATAATGGGAAGATCATAAATAGAGTGAAAGCATTTTCGTTCGACCTCGGCAAAGTCTGCCCATTCGCACCACACTTTCTTGCCTGCGAGTACGGGGGCAACTCCCAAAAGGATGGTGGAGACGATAATAGTGAGTTTTATATTTAGCTTGTTAAGGAAGAGATATATTATGCAGGTATTGTTGTTGCTACAGATTTGGACTAAGTGTGAATAGAGTGATTGTGTACATAAACTCTAGTAGTCTAGGAGTGCTACTCAGACTGTTATATGTTGGTCTTTTATATACCATGATGCGACTATTTAGTGGATGTATTACGAGTGAAGAGAGAGAAGAAAAGATAGTGGCGAAGTACAGAGTATCTAATCGTGATCGCACGAGCTTAAGTAACGACTATGAAACACAACGCGTAGCTTATTTGGCTTGTGGTCTACCTTTTTGACATATTGGTGGCGTAAATAGTCGTGTGGTTGGCTCGGCGAGCCCGTCCGATGCAGTAAGATCAGCACTAGACCTATCTGTAGCAGAAGATTCGAGCCAACAAATCTTACACATGCTCCTCTGCGTTTACACTTTGTTGTCGGTAGACTATCCCGTACCCTCTCTGTTGTTCTACGATGGTCTAGAGCGTCGGCAGTGGCTCGGCTACGGGGATTCTAGGATATCTCTATGCCTTCACGAAACGGGACGGCGTTGACAACTATTCAAGTTTTTTTGTTATATATATATATATAGAAAATTGAGACTGGCAGCGAGAGTGTGTACATATATCCTATAGCTTCTGTAGGCCTCTCTGGCCTATTGGCAACACAGTTTGTAGGTGAAAGTGAAGCATCACGCGATGTGCTGATCTGAGAATGCGAACTCGAATTTACAGCAACGGCAGCAGATCCACCCCACACTCAGGAATTTCTCTTGGTGGAACGAACAGAAGTAAGCCGAATGCGAGTAGTCTCTATTCTCCACCACTAGCAACCCGCTACGCCTTTGGATACATAGTTTAGAACAAAACTCTACTTACTCAGGTTACAGATTCCCCATTATTTATAATTTTTATATCATATGCATGAACCTCTGCAGGATATATATTTCTGTCATAGTTTAACGACCAGTTGATGAAACTATGGGCTTTCCTTTTCATCTTGTCTATATATTGGCTCTGCATGAAAAGAGAGTCCTTCTCTACCACTTTACCGATACCAACTCCTTCTGCAACCAATAAAACAAGAACAATCATACCATCTTCACATCTCACAAACCTACTTCTTTAATCCAAAGCCAAGTCAGTTCCTCAGAACGTCGCATTTAATCTTATAGAAGAAAAAAAGAAAAAGCTGACAACCTAAACAAATCAGAATGCATATAATTCCATTTGCCCTCCTTTTCAGTTTCGCAGCCGGCAGATTCATACTACGATCCGACTCAGAGCTTGCTCAATTGGCCGCCAGTCGCACCTGCAGAGACGACAACGATTGTTTCGCTAATTGCGAAAGCAAGGAGAATTGCTACTCTGCTTGCTGCGACAGGCAAACGGCAACGTGTTGCCTTTATGGTTGCAATCCGTGCCATAGGTGTTGCAAGGGTACTCATTTTGCAGATCCGTGCAATACTTGTAATTAATAGGTGATGGGTATGGGGGGAGGCTTAGAGTTGAGGTTAAAGGAAGACTTACTCTGTGATATGACGTAGCTAGTGTCGGATATAAAAATAGTCAACGGCGTTTTCTTTTGGATCTGCAACTCGACATGTGTTCATGGCTCATCCTTACTAAGTCGCAATTAAGCCGGAGCGGTATATTTGTTGAGAAAAAATCACTTGAATTTTCTCTTAATTTCCGTAGGTTCTCGGGCCAAGCAAATCACTCAATCGAACGTAGTTTTTTTCTTCAAGCATTCTGAGCACTGAAGAGCGAAAATGACGAATGGCAGTATTAGTTGATAATATTATACCGAAAAAAATCTCTATCTTCTATACAACTATGTACGCCAACTGTCTCTCCCCTAAAAAAAACAGTGCGATCCATATGAATTGGAAGAGAGAAAAGAAATGAAGGAGGAAGAATAAGGGGGAACACAGAGAGAGAGAAAGAGAAAGAGGAAGAAAACCTCAAGTCGGTCTCGCCGGCCCCGCAAAGCTTTCCCTTCTCCCCCAGTTCCTAGGCTGTCTCTTCAAAAATGCACCCACGGCACCGAGATACCCCTCATGCCTCAGGAAATATGCTTGTCGGGTGTCCTTGGACCAGAAGCGAATGGCGTATGACAGTGTGTTCATAGTTTGTGAGTGGCCGCCGATGAAAGAGCCGCCGAAGTAAATACGCGGTAAGCCATGTTTTTCGGCGTGTAGATGAGCGATCTGGCCAATGTTGTTTGAGACAGCATACAAGAGGGATCGCGCCATGTCTTCTGGGCGGAAGGAACCAGGGGTGTGAGGGAGCTCTGAAGAGCCCTGGACATGTTCTGCTTCTTCTCTGCGCTTGAGGTCCCCGTTGCAGCCGTCTTCTGCTTCGCGCTCGGCTGCACGCTTCATCTTGTAGACTTTGCCGAAGGAGGAGGCAATGTGTGTGCTTTTAAGGCCGATCTTGTTGTAGGCTTGGCCGTAGATGTCGCCGACGAGGAGGTCGACGCTGGAGTTGTCGCCGTTTTCGGCGAGTCGGAGCATGTCGTCGAAGCTGCGGGCGCCGGTGAGGAGAGATAAGAGGCCCCAGAGTGTGCCGCCGCCTAGTGATGTTCCGCCTATGCGCTCGAATTGTCGCGGGCCTGAGACTTTGATCATGGAGACACCGGAGCCGATGTTTACGAGGAGGTAGGGGTAGATGTTCGGTGGGTCTGGAGGGTGTGGGACGAATTGCATAGGGCTGTCTTCGCTGTAGGTGAAGACCTCATCGGGAATCTCGTTGATGAAGAAATCGAGGCCTGGATAGCGCCATTGTCAGCAGTGTTCTGTCGCAAGATATAGACAGCGGCAATAATCATACCTATGATCAAGCACTCCATTTCGTCTTCCCGTATGACCTCTACATCTAGCGCCTGTGTGATCTTGTCATGGTACTTGAATGCGCCTCCTCCGGTAGCCATGATGCATAGGTCCTGCGACTTGGAATCATTGTGCTGCTTCTGGTCGTCCTTGAGCTTGCGCATAAACTCTATACATGCGTCGATGCGATCCGTCTCGAACTTGAAAAAATTCAGTCGTCCGCCTGCCGCATCGTCGCCTGGTTCGCGCGAAAAATATACGAGTTTGGCAAGGGAGCCTCCGATCTACCAAGTCGCATTAGCATGCCGCTGCTTATACTTTTTGCCAGGGGCTCGGCGCGGGAAGAACGCGACAGTGCATGGTCGCGTGCCGGGCGCAACAACAAGCAAAGAATCGCGCAGGAGCACTCACATCAACAGCTACATGGCTCACAACCGCCGTGTGGTTGGGAAGTCTAATGTCGTGGGGGTCGTGCTCGTAGTCTTCGCTTTTCGGCGTATCCGGCTGCTCCTCGTCGACTATGAAAGCGCCCTGAACATTGATGCGCACGCTACCCGGATGCTGGATGGTGTCCTGAATGTCGCTTTGGGCAGTAGTTCGCCTGGGACGTCCGTAGTCCGGGGTTGATGTGATCTCTATGGCTTGCGCACGCGATGCCTTGGGGCCGGTTTCACCCGTCGTCGCGGGGTCCAGTGCAGGCGACATGGCGACGGATGCTCTGGGTCTTGGCAGCGACTTTACTTTCTTGCAGCGACGGCGGCGCACGCTCGGAATTCGTCGGCTGGCGATGAAGTCGTGATGGGGGGATGATTGTGCGAAGACAGATGTCGGCATTGAGGTCGCTGCAGATAGCGATAGGCGCTCCATTTGTCCGCTTTGCAACGGGGCTTTATTCCCTGGGCAAGACGTGATCTGAAGTTCTGCGCAGAATAGAGCCCAAGAGGTTCAACAAAGTTCCGGCGCCTCAACTCAACTGCCAGAGCGAGCACAGCGCCGGGCGGGGGTCATATATCCTCTCCATGATTCCCTCCGGTGAAACGGACCTTACTTAGTGAGTCGAATTTGCGCGCTCACATTGCCGAGTCGGGGGATTGCTAAGCTCGGTAACTTCAGAAGCAGAGATGAGTAACATCCGAGGGACCGAATGGGGGGTTGTGGAGGTGGTGCAACAACTACCATACTCTCACTTCCCGTCACCCGTGAGTGATGGGCCTTGGAGTGCAGTATCAAAGTAGATGGCAGGTGTTTGCTGGGGACGCCTAAACATTCATGGGTGCGCATAGCCACGTGCCGCAGACACGCCTACTTGCACCCAGCTGTAACTTCAAATACGTCACCATCAGGTTTGCAGGTGCTATTCGAGAGTCTTCCCAATGAAAGACTCACCGTCCTTACCGCCTGCGAGGCACAGTGTGCTCCTGCAGACAATCGCGTACCACTATAGGTGCCGAT